TCTCAAAAATTTCTCAATTCATTCATAAAATCTTCGAAACCTTTAATTAATTGTCCTCTTTCGAGAGTCATACGTTTTTTTCGCGCTGATCGAACCATTCAATTTCAATCTATTCCGCACCACCATCGGCACAATTAGGACAACCAATTGTTTCATTTAATTGTCGATAATTTTTCTAATCAACGAGGCTAATCGAGTGTTTCCATTGATCTGATGAAAAAGGAAATTCTTGCTCAACAGGTGAATATGTAGTCTGAACATAATTAGGTTCCTTCAAACCAATTAATTCATGTTTTGAAGTTGATTTCACGTGCATATTGAACGGCGACGATAGTCAACACATCCTCCAAACGAAGTTCCACTGGAGATCGAGAAAATTTCCTTTCGCTGACACTTTTAATCAATCGACATTGAATAAATAATCAATACAAAACATACTAGAAATCCTCTTCAGATTTTTTCGTAAACGATCCATGTCTTTGTTTGGATTACTGTGTTAAGAATGTGAAAGAATGCAAGATACAACAGCTTGTCTTTATCATATGGTTCCATTTGATTAGTTATCGATGCGCCATGTCTTTCACATGGCAACATATTGTATGATATAAGAAATCATTTTTGAGTCCAAATCATCGCTCTAAAACAACTTGATTTCATACAACAGCAACTATTAAGAAGCACAGATTTTTTTCTGTACATTTATTGTATTTATTCAAAATATTTCTTTGTCAATGGCTGTTTAGTCCAAATGTGCGTATTGACTCAGAAAAGATGGGAAACTTTCTTTACTCTTTCTTATGACTTACTTTTATCCATTCTACTATTTTTCTATTGGATGGGATAATATCCCATCCCATCTCATGGGAATGGAAGAAAGATATTGATTCCATCCCATTCGATGCGAAGTTCTTTTGGGTATTTAAAAAGCTGCTTACTAGTTACTATACCGTTATTAACGATAGTACTGTGTATTCGACGCATTACTGAGATCTTACACTAATAGCAGATATAATTCATTTTCATTATGGGAAAATCGTTAGCGTCATATATTTTATGTATATATTTGATTATCAATTATTTACTAACTGTTGCAAAAGCAAATATTAATTGGAATGGTAACAATTGGGCCATGGGATGTGATTTCTATCGAAACGATCTATGCAATGCTCGAATTCCATCTGAACAATGTGGTGGTCACTGTAGTCGAACACCTGGTTGTACTCATTTTGCATGGAATCGATACAATGGTGGTACCTGTTGGATGAAAAGGGGTTCAGTAACAAAAAATAATGCTTTCAAAACAAGCGATCCAACAATGGTATGTGGTGTTATTATCGAGAGCAATGGAGGTGGTCATAATGGAGGTGGACAAGCAGGAACAACAACTCGATATTGGGATTGTTGCAAACCTAGTTGTTCATGGCCAGGTAAAGTTTCTGGATCAAATACTCAGGTCAGAACTTGTAGTTGGGGTGGTTATAATGTACTGTACAATCCTAATGCTGTTAGTGGATGTGATGGTGGTCACGCTTTTGCATGCAACAATCAAATGCCATGGGCTGTCAATGATCAGTTAGCATATGGTTTTGCTGCGGCAACAATTCCAGGAATGAATGAACAAAGTCGTTGTTGTGCGTGTTATAAATTAGATTTTACTAGTGGACCAGTGACTGGAAAATCAATGATTGTTCAAATTACAAATAGTGGTTCTGATGTTCATGCAAATCAATTCGATTTACAAATTCCTGGAGGTGGTGTTGGAATGTTTAATGGATGTAGTAGACAATGGGGTGCAGGACCAAATGGATGGGGACAACGTTATGGTGGTGTTTCATCTCGAGAAGAATGTTACGCACTTCCTCAAGCTATTCGAGATGGATGTTTCTTTAGATTTGATTGGTTTAAAGGAGCAGACAATCCAAATATGGTTTATTCGAAAGTCAAATGTCCACAAGAATTGATCAATGTTAGTGGATGTAAACGCAACGATGAATAAANTAGTAGACAATGGGGTGCAGGACCAAATGGATGGGGACAACGTTATGGTGGTGTTTCATCTCGAGAAGAATGTTACGCACTTCCCCAAGCTATTCGAAATGGATGTTTCTTTAGATTTGATTGGTTTAAAGGAGCAGACAATCCAAATATGGTTTATTCGAAAGTCAAATGTCCACAAGAATTGATCAATGTTAGTGGATGTAAACGCAACGATGAATAAACAGCTATGGAGCTATCTTCTTTTTTAATAGTGAACTCATAACCTTTTATATAATATTGTAGTTTTTTCCTATCGTTTGTTAACAAGGTTGTTGCAATTATCATAATTTTTTAGGAGTGAAACTATCATCCTTTATCAATATAGACTAGATTACAGACTGTAATCGAGCGTTTAAAAAAAAATCAAAGTATGGCAGGCATGAAATAAAAGAAACGTGTGTGTTCTTTCATTAGCAGCGTCATCGAACAGAGAAAAAGAATTTTGGCGAGCTGCACGCGTGTATTTGCTCGGAAGTAAACAGTCGTCCAAGTAAGAATAGATTTATCGCAACAGAATTCAACACACACGCAATGACTACTTCATCTGTCTGTTCCACAACTATCGAGAGATATCGCAATCCTGAGAACTATGCTATTATTTGGCTTGATGCTGATTTCAGTGATCAGAATGGCATACATAAAAGCGGATTAGAACAACTTGAGAATCTTGCTGGTCGGATCGAAACATTTACTGAATCAAATGAATGTATCGATTTCATCACACATGAGCTTGATACAAAACTTCTATTGATCGTATCTGATTCGTTTGGTGCACAACTCATTTCTATACTCGATGATATGCCACAAATACAATCAGTTTATATTTTCAGTACGAACAGTGAACCATGTGTATCATGGACAAAAGATTATTCGAAAGTGAGAGGTATCTATAAAGATATCGTGTCCTTATGTCAAATTATCAAACGTGACATTCGAATCATTGAATACAATCTCACACCAATTAGCATATATTTAAGTCGTTTTTCTACAAACGATCAAAACACACTCGATCCAACATTTATGTACTGTCAAATACTCAAAGAAATATTTCTCGATATGGAGTACGGAAAAGAAGCGAAACAAAACTTGGTTGAATTATGCAGGAAAGAATATGCTACTAGCATCGTCGGCTTACGAGTTATAGCGGAATTTGAACGAGATTATGATAAACATACGCCAGTTTGGTGGTACACTCGAGACTGCTTTGTTTACCGAATGCTTAACAAAGCATTGCGAACTCATCACATTGAAGTGATCAACAAATTCGCATTTTTTATCAAAGATCTACATCGTCAACTTGAGCAGCTTCAAGGAGATCTTGGNATGGATGTTTCTTTAGATTTGATTGGTTTAAAGGAGCAGACAATCCAAATATGGTTTATTCGAAAGTCAAATGTCCACAAGAATTGATCAATGTTAGTGGATGTAAACGCAACGATGAATAAATAGCTATGGAGCTATCTTCTTTTTTAATGGTGAACTCATAACCTTTTATATAATATTGTAGTTTTTTCCTATCGTTTGTTAACAAGTTTGTTGCCATTATCATTATTGTTAAGAGTGAAACTATCATCCTTTATCAATACAGACTACATTACAGACTGTAATCGAGCGTTTTAAAAAGATCAAAGTATGGCAGGCATGAAATAAAAGAAACATGTGTGTTCTTTCATTAGAAGCGTCATCGAACAGAGAAAAAAAAATTTTGGCGAGCTGCACGCGTGTATTTGCTCGGAAGTAAAAAAGTCGTCCAAGTAAGAATAGTTTTATCGCAACACAATTCAACACACGCGCAATGACTACTTCATCCGTCTGTTCCACAACTACCGAGAGACATCGAAATCCTGAGAACTATGCTATTATTTGGCTTGATGCTGATTTCAGTGATCAGAATGACATACATAAAAGCGGATTAGAACAACTTGAGAATCTTGCTGGTCGGATCGAAACATTTACTGAATCAAATGAATGCATCGATTTCATCACACAAGAGCTTGATACAAAACTTCTATTGATCGTATCTGATTCGTTTGGTACACAACTCATTTCTATGCTCGATGATATGCCACAAATACAATCAGTTTACATTTTCAGTACGAACAGTGAACCATATGTATCATGGACAAAAGATTATTCGAAAGTGAGAGGTATCTATAAAGATATCTTGTCCCTATGTCAAATTATCAAACGTGACATTCGAATCATTGAATACAATCTCACACCAATCAGCATATATTTAAGTCGTTCTTCTACAAATGATCAAAACACACTCGATCCAACATTTATGTATTGTCAAATACTCAAAGAAATATTTCTCGATATGGAGTACGGAAAAGAAGCGAAACAAAACTTGGTTGAATTATGCAAGAAAGAATATGCTACTAGCATCGTCGGCTTACGAGTTATAGCGGAATTTGAACGAGATTATGATAAACATACGCCAGTTTGGTGGTACACTCGAGACTGCTTTGTTTACCGAATGCTTAACAAAGCATTGCGAACTCATCACATTGAAGTGATCAACAAATTCGCATTTTTTATCAAAGATCTACATCGTCAACTTGAACAGCTTCAAGGAGATCTTGGATCTCAATTATTCACTGTTTACAGGGGACAAAGGTAAACCAAACCATTTGTTGACGTAGGATTGCGTATGAGTGATCTTTTCAGTATGTTGAACCAAGAATTTGAGAATCTGCAGAAGAGTATCGGTGGTCTTCTTTCATTCAATAATTTTCTTTCAACGAGTACTGATGAAACAGTAGCCCGTGGCTTTGCCTTACCTCTCTTGGATAATCCTGATATCAAAGCTCTAATATTTGTCATTGTCGTTGATCCAAATATTCGTTCAAGTCCGATGGCATCATTGTTTGGTTTAAGTTCCATCAACGAAGAAAAAGAAGTTCTTTTTGGTATGAGTACAGTTTTTCGAATTAAAGAAATAAAGCAAGAAGAAAGTGGTCTTTGGCATGTGCATTTGACATTGACGAACGACGATGACCCACAGCTGACTGAATTAACAGCTCATCTGAGAGAAGAAGTGCGTGGTACACTGGGACTGGATAGACTTGGACAATTAATGGCTGAAATGGGCGAATGGGATAAAGCAAAAGATCTGTATCAAGAAATTCTTAATTTTACCAATCAAGAAGACAAAGCTGGACTTGCGCACATACATCATATGTTGGGATACATTGAAGCAGGGCAAAGGCACTTTGATATAGCGCTTGAACATTACGAAAAATCCGTTATGAACAGGCTCGGTCAAAACCCCATGAATGATTCGTTGTTGGCCACAACATATTCGAATATCGGCGTTGTCTATAGGAATCTTGGTAATTTCAGTCAAGCATTGGAATATTTTCAACGATCTCTTCAACTTACTTCCAAACACACGAGTCCAAATAAGAAAGATTTAGTATGTGCAATATGAATTTCTGAAATATTTGTCCGAACGATTATTTAATTGTAGGCAACTTTGCACAATAATATTGGTGGTGTTTTTCAAGGAAAAGGCGAACTCGACAAAGCTCTCAAAAACTTTGAAAGAGCACTGGAACTCTTCCTTCAATGTCTTCCATCTACACATTCCCATCTTTCAACTATATACAACAATATTGGCTTTATTTATGCAACAAAGAAAAACTATTCAAAAAGTCTATTAAACTATCAAAAATGTTTATATATAGAGGAACATTCCCTTCCTTCAATCCATCCGTCCATTGCACATAGTCATCGTATGATAACTGCAGCACTCTTCTATCTTGGTCAGTACAATGATGCACTGCAACATGCGAATAAAGCACTCGAGATTAGCCGTGCCTCATTAACAGAAAATCATCAACAAACAAGAGATGATGAACAATTCTGTGACTTTTTGAAATCGATGGTGGCATAGCATACTACTTTTTTCAATTTTTCTTTCTGTGTGAAATTGTCCTTTGAAGTGATGCTATATGTGTATAAACATAAAGGAGAGTGACACTTTATCATCTTTTAGTACCCCGTCACTTTCACATTCTCATAATATGAGTAACGTATTCTCTCGTACTTTAGTTATGTCAGTGACGATACTTTTGCGTTCCTCTCGGAAGATTACACGCATGTGTGCCAAAGTATAAATATAAAGCACGTTTTGTCTTCGTTTCAATCAATTCTTTTCTCGCAACATGTCATCAAATCAAGAACGTGTGTTCGTAACTGGAGCAAGTGGAAATATTGGGAGCGAAATCGTTAAAAGTCTGATAAAAAAACAAATCCATACAACAATCTATGTACGAGATGAACAAAAAGCGAAAGAATTATTTAAAAACGACTTAAATTCTGGTTATCTCTCAATTATTGTCGGCACTTATACAACACTTGATGTATTTACCAAAGCAATTCAAGGGCATACACGTTTGTTTCTGCTCTATGCTGGAAATTTCAAACCAACAGCAATGAGTGAAGTGAAAGAAAAATTTGCGAGAGCTGCTTTTGAGCAAGGCGTTCATCAAATTGTCGATCTTTCATCAGCTTCTGTTAGTAATGGTCGGGATGGAATTATTTCATTTATGCATTCGACAGCTGAAGAAAAACTCTGGAAAATGATCGATGAAAAACCANAACGAAGAAAAAGAAGTTCTTTTTGGTATGAGTACAGTTTTTCGAATTAAAGAAATAAAGCAAGAAGAAAGTGGTCTTTGGCATGTGCATTTGACATTGACGAACGACGATGACCCACAGCTGACTGAATTAACAGCTCATCTGAGAGAAGAAGTGCGTGGTACACTGGGATTGGATAGACTTGGACAATTAATGGCTGAAATGGGTGAATGGGATAAAGCAAAAGATCTGTACCAAGAAATTCTTAATTTTATCAATCAAGAAGACAGAGCTGGACTTGCGCACATATATCATATGTTGGGATACATTGAAGCAGGACAAAAGCACTTTGATATAGCACTTGAACATTACGAAAAATCCGTTATGAACAGGCTCGGTCAAAAACCTATAGATGATTCGTTGTTGGCCACAACCTATTCGAACATTGGCGTTGTCAATAGGAATCTTGGTGATTTCAGTCAAGCACTGGAATATTTTCAACGATCTCTTCAACTTACTTCCAAACACACGAGTCCAAATAAGAAAGATTTAGTATGTGCAATATGAATTTTTGAAATATTTGTCCGAACGATTATTTAATTGTAGGCAACTTTGCACAATAATATTGGTGGTGTTTTTCAAGGAAAAGGCGAACTCGACAAAGCTCTCGAAAACTTTGAAATAGCGCTGGAACTCTTCCTTCAATGTCTTCCATCTACACATTCCCATCTTTCAACTATATACAACAATATTGGCTTTATTTATGCGACGAAGAAAAACTATTCAAAAAGTCTATTCAACTATCAAAAATGTTTATATATAGAGGAACATTCCCTTCCTTCAATCCATCCGTCCATTGCACACAGTCATCGTATGATAACTGCAGCACTCTTTTATCTTGGTCAGTACAATGATGCACTGCGACATGCGAATAAAGCATTCGAGATTAGCCGTGCCTCATTAACAGAAAGTCATCAACAAACAAGAGATGATGAACAATTCTGTGACTTTCTGAAATCGTTGGTGGCATAGTATACTACTTTTTTCAATTTTTCTTTCTGTGTGAAATTGTCCTTTGAAATGATGCTATATGTGTGTAAACATAGAGGAGAGTGACGCTTTATCATCGTTTAGTACCCCGTCACTTTCACATTCTCATAATATGAGTAACGTACTGTCTCGTACTTTAGTTATGTCAGTGACGATACTTTTGCGTTCCTCTCGGAAGGTTACACGCATGTGTGCCGAAGTATAAATATGAAGTACGTTTTGTCCTCGTTTCAGTCAATTTTTTTCTCGCAACATGTCATCAAATCAAGAACGTGTGTTCGTAACTGGAGCAAGTGGAAATATTGGAAGTGAAATCGTTAAAAGTTTGATAACAAAACAAATCCATACAACAATCTATGTACGAGATGAACAAAAAGCGAAAGAATTATTTAAAAATGACCTAAATTCTGGTTATCTCTCAATTATTGTCGGCACTTATGCAACACTTGATGTATTTACAAAAGCAATTCAAGGACATACGCGTTTGTTTCTACTCTATGCTGGGAATTTCAAGCCGACAGCAATGAGTGAAGTGAAAGAAAAATTTGCGAGAGCTGCTTTTGAGCAAGGCGTTCATCAAATTGTCGATCTTTCATCAGCTTCTGTTAGTAATGGTCGGGATGGAATTATTTCATTTATGCATTCGACAGCTGAAGAGAAACTCTGGAAAATGATCGATGAAAAACCAGAGGANTTACTGCTTGAACTCGTTTATCTGTACATTTTATTCTTTCCATTCGCTATCGACTGAACAACTTACTAAATACCAATTGTAAGAGGAGAATTAAAATAAGAACTGCAAAGCCAAACACCGTCGGAACTCCAATATACCACCAGATTAAAATAAATGCCGAAACGGCTTCCAAAGGTGATAATATGAGAGCATAGGCGAAAAACACAAGCTCTTGAAATTTGCTTGTATCATTTGCAACTAGATTGATTACTTGAGCAGTAGTATTTTTATGAAACTCGACCGTACTGACAGTTAATAGATGCTTATAAATGGCACATGACAAGGCAGTTTGCACACGCATTCCAACGCGTGTATTTTGAAATTCAATGTGTTGATGGATGATACCATATAGAATTGCAGCTGCACATAAAGTAGCAGTATAGAGATAAGCTGCATATACTGGTAGAGTTGATTGACCTTGAATGTAGAGAACGAGTTCGCGGATTAACCAAGGTTGTGCAAGGCGAACTGCAATGTATGGAAATAGAAGTAGAAGAGTGGGAATGTAATCGTTGAAAAATGTTCGAAGAATAACGTGCCACGTTCCAGGCCATGTTGAAATAAACGATTCAACGCGATTTAATGATGAAGAGGATTTATCGATGATAGCAAGATCACTGAAATCGTTACTGGTAATCGTACGCCGATTGCTTAGCGAAAGGATTGGTGTTGCCCAACTGAAAAATATCAGATAAATCCATCGAGTACACGACGATTGTGCCCAAGCCAACCGACTTGATTCTCGTTGCTTAACATCATTTTCGACTTCATGTGTCTGCATCGATTCTGCCGTGAAAAATGCCTCTATCATGCAGATCTTTTACGTTCTTATCTTTTCATATCAATATGTCAACATCTATCTACTTTTGCAACACAAATGAATTTCGAGTTACAAATTCAAATTTATTCATCAAATTAATGCTCATGTCTAAAAGAACGCTCATCAGCATCCTTAACGCATTATTCAATTAATGCCCAAAGAAAAAGAATTGACTATACTGACAACAGTTACATGCAGCGCGTGTGTGCGTTACTAATACTCGATAACTTGTAAACCATTTATCATTCGAAATATACTTTTCAACACCACATGATTTTCTACCTGGATCTTCTTCAATACCAGATAAACCATCGTAGATCAGAGTCCAGCTTGATCCTTGTCTAGGATCACCTTCGTTACTTCCTTCAATAGTGATCATGACTGGATCACGTTCTGGAAAATCGTTACTTGTACTAAAGGAAAATCCTAAGGCACATGTTATACCACGACTTGGAGTAACATTGAAGCCTGCACGAAACCATTCTTTTTCATTACAATCATGACGAGCAGTAAATTTTCCGAAACAGAGATATTTCGTATCAAGACTTAAATCAAATACATTTTGTGGACCTTCATGAGGCAAATACTGTTCTCTTCCACAGCCTGCAGTCAACGGAAAGCTATCACCACCCGTTTCTATACACCACACTGGATGTATAACATCAGTAGATCGAACTATGCAGATGACCGAGGTGTCTAAAGGTCAAATCGAGTATAGTTATAACTCATCATAGAAGGGACGACTTACATGATACTTTTTCATTTGTTGTGTCTAAACAGAACAATAAATATAGCACTAAATGGTCTAACTTGAAGATGATCCTACTTACTGTCAGCTACTGTTTGTTGTACACTATCCGGTATTAACCACGTAACAGATGAAGGAAGAGGTAAGAATGTTTTTCCGTCCAAGGGAAAATAATTTTCGACAAGTATTTCATCTCCAGCCATTTCTCGAGTTGGCCATGGATTAGCAAGAGAAAGTTGAGCAACAGCATTAGCAGATACTCTATTCGATGCGTTGTCTAGTTCTTTGTCAGTGATTGGGCTATGTTGACGTGGCCAGTCCGGTCGATTTTGTAACAATGTACGAGCTCTTTCGAGTTTGCTTTTGAGAGTATTGATATAGAATTGATAGCTACCAGGTAAGTGGAAGAAATCATAAGCAGTTTCAACGCTTCTGTCAATTGGATAATTAGTAATTCGAAGAGATCGGTTGTGCTGTTCTCGGTTTCGAAGACAAATCATGAACTCTTCGTATTCAAGAAAATCTTCATAAGTGAGAGGTTTGCGAACGACTATCATTTCAGTAGAATCGTGTCGTACGAACAGACGAGCGATATTTCGAGCAAGAGCCATTGCCGCTTTCATACCAGAATTCATTCCTCTACACGAAAAATGCAAAATGATACATATTCGATTATCGAATTATGCAACAAACCTCCCTGGCCAGAAATGTACGGCCATAGCCGCGTCACCTGCAAGACAAACTGGAATCTTCTTTATTTCGTGTTCAAATTCTTTGACAACGGATATTGCATGCTGAACATTGATTTCAATTGACACAATTCGAAAAACGAATTTATGAGCGATCTTGAAAAAATCAAGACCTTGTCGTATTATTGTCCATACAGGCGAATTAGGATGTCTTTCGAGATCGAGAAGATTCACTTTTTCATTACGTTGTTGATTTTGCAAGTGTTCTCGTAAGTCCGCATATTCTTCAGGCGTTAAACGAACATTCAAATATCCTCGTCGACTGGTTGATGAATTAACCAAATAACGTGTTTGACAGATAGTAAGAATACAGTTGAGAGCTTGATGTAGAGGCTCTTCTTCTGGAGGAATATCAATTGGTATATTATATGAAAAGATATAATGATATTTTGTAATCAAAGATGTGAATTGGCAAGGTCTTATCCGGCTGGACAACTCTGTGCAAGAATTAATCTATCCAAATATATTGTTGCACTTACTTAATATTTTTTTCTGTATTGAATATGCAGGTTTGAAAAACCATTGACAAATGATTTCGAATATTTTAGACGAATACACGACTTTCTTCGACGAATTTATTCGTGTTCACTTCGAGAAAGTCAAAATCGAGGAAATAGATTGTGTGGCATCTGCATCGCCGCCTCAGGGTCACTCGTCGATTTTGCGACAGCTACAAGAATCAGGCCTTGGCGGGACTGATTGAAATGAAAAAGAAGGGGTTTGTCAAACACATAGATAAGCACGCTTCATTACCATCTAATGATTGACATATCTATTTTAAAGTCTTGATTTGATACTTCTGAATTCACTTAATTTCAGCCCGTCCATAAACTCATTTGAATAAACGAGCTTGATCAGATCTGCATAGTAATCATTGAAAATAATGGATTCATCGGTGACCTTAAACAGCTTTTGACCACCAAGACGAGTCGGCGGCAACTGGACCAGGCTAAAAAACAACGCTTCAATAATACTCCGCTGCCGCAAATTCCTGGCTTTATTACTTGAATTGAATGAAAGCAGAACATTACTCCTGATTAATTTAGGAAACATGCAGTCGGCTCCCATCTTATTCTCAATTGAGATTTTAGTAGCATCTGCTTGATCGGCCGTTTGAATTAGGTTAAAGCTGATCCCGTAATCGGCCCCTAAGTCACCTCTTCCGGCAAGTCTGATTTTCATATCAGGAGAAATTTTGTTGAGGGACGCGACGGCCATCCCTAAGGTTGCGGAATCTGCCCTTTCAACCGATCCACTCAGAAACACCCCCACCTCTTTGGAGTGTTTGAGTAGCTCACCTCTCGTGAAACATGCCTCTATTTCGTCAGCAACCAGCCTATCACGCGACGAACTTTTTAACAGTTTTCCGATTCGCCCTTCCACTCCGACGTGCAACAGCAGATCGCCGAAGTCGCTTTCAAATGACGATGTTGGATAGTTGAATGGAATGGATTCGTCATAAAGAAGCGCTAAAACGTTGCTATCCAGGGGTGTAAATTCTTTTGACGGGTTGTAGTTTTGAAAAAACAGACTTTTAGGATAAGAATAACTGTCGCCAACGACACCCATTGACTGTATAATCTCTTCCAGTACAATATTTCTTCGATGGGAAGTAAGCGTGTCTTTTTTGTTATAGAAAATGCTGATGTGTGCCTCACTGATAACGCCATCATAACTGATTGCACGAGCGACAGCTAAATGACGGTCCGGATTGGCCTCCCGGGCATGGGCACTATCGGCTCCCAAATGTTTTGCTGCGTCTTCAAAGCTGCCGAACGTAATCCT